TCCCACTTGGTTGTGGTTTATAACCTTTTTTTTGATATTGTTGGATTCAACAGGATGACACACTGTTGAGGTTTTCTGCATAGATATTGGTCTACAGTTTCGTTTTCTTGTAATGTCTTTATCTAGATTTGGTATTAGGATAATGTTGGTTTCAGAATGAGTTAGGAAGTATTCCTTTACTTCTCTCCTCTAAAAGAGATCATACCAAATGGCATACTTTCTTTCTTAAATGTTTTATGGAACTTATTAGTGAGTTCCATCTGTACCTGGTACTTTCTATTTTGGAAGGTTATTAATTATTAATTCAGTTTCTTTATAGGTATAAACCTATTCAGATTATTTCTTCATATGTGAGCTTGGTCAGACAGTTTATTTCAAAGATTTGGTTCATTTCATGTAAGACATCAAATTTGTGGTCATGGAGTTGTTTGGAGTATTTCTTTATTATCCTTTTAATGTCCACAGGATCTGTAATAATGTCTTCTCTTTCACTTGTGGCATGAATAGTTTGTGTCTTTTCTTTTTGTCTCTCTTTAGAGGCTTATTAATTTTACTGATTTTTCTCCAAAGAATTAGCTCTTGGTTATACATTTTCTTTACTGAGATTCTATTCCCAGTTTCACAGTTTCTCTGATTTTTGATTACCAAGTACTAACTGTACATATTAATGGAACTCGGTGTGATATTTCAAAACATATGGTGGATAATGGCCAAATCCAATCCCCCTTTGTCCACCCTACTCCCAGTCTCTAGTAATCACTATTCTATGTTGAGGTTTTGAATTTAATGTTCACATATGGGAGAGAAGATGCTTCTTTGTGGCCTGGCTTATTCATTTAACATAATACATCCCCATCCCTCCAGGTTTCATTCATTTTGTTACAAATAATAGGATTTCATTTTGGCTGATTTCTGGTTAAATAATTCTCAATTGTGTGTGTGTGTGTGAGATATATATATATATATAAATAAAACATTTTCCTTAGCCATTCATCTACTGATGGGCACCTAGGCTGATTCATATTTTAGCTATTGTAGACAGTGAGGCAATAAACAGTGTTCTATTACACTGAGGTATGTCTTTGGTATGCTGACTTCCTTGCCTTAAACTATATATCACAGAAATGGAAGTTATATCACATGGTAATATCTATTTTAGTGTTTTAAGGAATCCTCATACTAGGGGTTCTTCATAACAGCTCTACTATTTTACATTCCTATCAACAGTGAGTAAAAGTTCCTTTCTCTCCATATCCTTGACAACATTTATTATTATTATTTATTTTTTAATAAAAGTCATTCTATCTGTGGTGAGATGATATCTCATTGTAGTTTTAATGTGCATTTCCCTGATGGCTAATGATACTGAGCATTTTTCCCTATGTGTTGGCCATTTGTATTTTTTCTTATGAGCAGTGTTTGTTCTGATCCTTTGTTCACTTCTTAATAGAATACCTTTTTTGAGTTCCTTATATATTTTGGCTATTAATGCATTTTTGGATAAATAATTAAAAAACATTTTCTCCCATTCTCTAGGTTTTTTCTTGACTCCATCAACCATTTCTTTTGATGTACAGAAGCTTTTTTTGTTTGATGGGATTTCATTTGTCAATTTTTTTTTTTTGAGTCCCGAAAAACTCATTGTCTATTAAAATGTCTTGAAGTACGTCTATATTTTCTTCTAGTAGTGTCATCAGAGTTCCACATCTAACACTAAGGTCTTTGATCCATTTTGAGTTATTTTCGTACAGGGTGAGAGATGGGGTCAAGTTTCAATCTGTTATGTGGCTATCTAGTTTTCCCTCACCACTTATTGAAGAGGCAGGTTGTCCTTTCTCCAATGTACGTTATTGGAAACTTTGTTGAGAATCAATTGGCTGCAGATGCATGAATTTAATTCTGGAATCTCTATTCTGTTCCACTGATCTTTATTTCTGTTTTTTATGCCAGTACCATACTGTTTCAGATACTTGGCTTTGGATTGTCTCTTGAAATTGGATAATGTAATGCTTCCAGCTTATTTTTTGTTCAAGATTGCTTGGGCTATGTGGGCTCTTTTGTGCTTCCATATAAATTTTAGGATACATTTTTTCTAGTTCTGTGAAGAATATCATTGCTATTTTGATAAGGATTACAACGAATCTGTAAATCACTTTGAGCAGTTATGGGCATTAAAAACAACACTAATTTTTCAATCCATAAACATAGGAGCTTCTCTATTTTTGGTATGTATTCATCAATGTTTCATAATTTTCATTGTAGAGGTTTTTCACTTTGTTTAAATCTGAGGGGTATTTGCTTTTTGGGGGGAGGTAGTCTTATAAATGGAAATGCTTTCTTGCTATAGTGTTTATTATTTGTTTTCTTCTGCTTACTTTGGATTTACTCTTTTTTCTAATAAACTAAGGTAGAATCTTAGATGACTGATTTTTAGCTTCTTCTTTTCTAGTATATGCATTCCTTCTAAGTACTCTCTTTTCAGGGTTCCCCAAATTTTGATTTTCAAATTTCTCTTTGTATTTTGCCTTTGTGTTATTCTGAAGTATGTTTCTGAATCTCAAAGTATTTGAGATTTTTTTGTAGCTATCATTCTATTATTGATTTCTAGTTTAATTCCAGTGAAGTCTGAGAGCAGAAACTTTATGATTTATAATTAAAAAAATATAAGGTATGTTTAATTTGTCTAGACTCTAATTTATCTGAAATCACCATTCTTTGTATATTCTACAGATTGTATACACAGGAAGATACCTTTTTGTTTTCTTTTTTTCCTAAACAGGGTCATATTATATATAATGTTCTGCAATTTGCCTTTATTAGTCACTTGGTATATCTGGGCAATCTTTTTTTTTTCCACAGGACAGTTACATATTCTTTTTCTTTTTACAGTGCTGGGGATCAAACTCAGGGCTTCATGCATGCCAAGCAAGGATTCTACAACTAAGCTACTTCCCCAAGCCCTAACCCCCTTTTAAATAAATGTACAGTATTATGCAGTAGAGATAGACCAAAATTAATTTAACTATTTTTCTGTTAGTGAGCATTTAGAATCATTTTTATTATTACTACAAACAATGCAGTAATAAATATTTTCATAAATACATGTGCCCATGTCTGAGTATTTCCTAATGAAACATTCCTACAAGAGAAATAGCTGAATAAAAAGGTTTATGCATTTGCAATTTTGATAGTGAAATATGCTACTGAATATCAATTTATACTCCCACCAACATGATGCAGGAGTCATTCCTTATACCTTCATTAACACTGTTGATTATCATTCTTTTAAAGTATCTTTGCATCGATTGATAAAGAACTGAACTCACCTCAATTAAATTAGTAAGGTCCTGCATCTTTCATGAATTTATTTTACATTTGTATTACGTGTTTATATTTTCACTCATTTTTTTCTATTAAGTTTGACTTACTCATTTGTAGGAATGTTTTACATATGTTCTGGACATTATTTATTATTTAAGAATTATATATTTTCTCCTGGTCTATTAACTGCATTTTAATAATATAATGGTTGAAAGTGGATCTTTTCTTGTATGAAATTTGTTACTTTTCATCTTTCAAACCTGTTAGTCATAACTAAACGAGACACAAGAATTAGGAGACAGGTAGCCCATTGTTTTAATGTTGCTTTACAATATATATTCTTGTCACAATGATAAAATACTATCTTTACCATTAGTTTAATGTCCACACTATGTCACTTGATTTCCGTTTTAGCTATTCTGCTTCAATGATCTATTTGTATATTTTTCTTTCTGCTATTTTCATATCACACTTTAGATTTAAAAAGTGGTGGGATTATAGAAAGAAACCTGGATACCAAGACTAACAAGAGGCATATAGTATTAATTGGGTAGGTTATTTTCTGTCTGCTAACAAGTATGTATCTTCCACTATGCTCCTGAGTAATGCGCCAGTTTTTGACAGCTTCCTAATCTATTCCTTTTACCCAAACACTGTCATTCTCTTAAGAAACATAATTGCTCTTAAAACAAGGACTTGCAGGATTTAAATTTACTGTAGCTCTTAATTTTAATTCCCATAATTCATTTGCTTTTGAATAAAACTGGAACAAGTGGAATACATTTAAAATAACTCATACATTTAAACCTAAGTAAACAATATACTACATCTAAATGTATAGTAAACAACAAAGTTCGTAGTATTGGACAACAAGATCACCGTATAAACATAGGTATATAGGTCTATAAACATAGACTCTCCTCCCTCAATGACTGAAAGACATGTAGGCACAATGGCCAGTTCCAACTCATATAGGGAGCACATAAAAATAAAAGTGGCAAAATATATCTACATACATAATGTCAGAGAAAAATGAAACATCTTCTTAAAAAAATCTATCAAGATCTTCATTCTAGATAGAACAAGACTAAATCTCATCAGACACATGAAGAAAATAAACTTGGAATGAGAAAATCCAACATAAACTCAAAATATGACTTGAGATAAAAATTGGGGAGAGTCAGAAAAGCAGGAAAGATTATAATCAACAAACCAATCACCCAGCCTTGAACCAACCAACCAACCAAAATATCAACCAAAATAATTAACCTCAAAGATTTATGTTTTCAACAATGGTAATCTCCATTCTTTTCAGATAATCTAAAAACTCAGGGTAGATAATAAAGAACATAATCACAATACATAGTAATCTTAAACCAAACTAATTTAGCATAAACTTCTATGGTAGCTTTGTCTAGATGTTTCTGCCCCTATACCCAGTAGTGTGTGAAAAAAAAAGAACTTCAATGAAAGGGAACACCTTGGGAGTTGGGTATTTTTAATAATATGAAACAATCTTGGTTCTTGTGAGAAACCGCAAAGATATTTGTTTTGAATTATCTTGATGTTTGAATTTAAATATGAACACTTAAATATATGGTACTCTCAAGGTAATATTACAAAATAATACCCCCAAATGGGAAGGACAACATAGCTCAGAAAACAGTCAGCTGACTCACCCTGGGAAATTGTACTAAACAGTGCAGGATCAATGGCTGGAATAGTCTGTGGAGTAGGTTGGATAGTATTACTCGTTACACCTGCAAATCAGAAAATTACAAATACGTATAAAGTGTTACAGCTCTTAAATTACATGTTAGAAAAAAACTAGAAGATAATGGAAAAATTGTATTACTTCATTTAAATATTTTCTTAAAACCTTTGTGCTTATTTGAAGATAGAGGCTAGTAGAGAAAATATGCAGGAAAACTCAGTTTACTTGCATGTATTGGCCACATATTTCCTAATGTATATTTTGTTTGTCATGTGTGATTCTTCAACTTGCTTATCAATTGAAGCTTATCACAGACTCCCTTCCTATCTTTTAATTTCTTAGCCAATTAAATTTGGAGACAAGGTGTGACATAATTATGACTGGTTTAACTTCAGATGAGTCCCAATTCATCACTCTACATGAAATTACGAATTATACACTTCAAATTTTTCAGTTGACATTTTTTTTCAAATATTCATTTTTAGTTGTAGTTGAACACAATACCTTTATTTTATTTATTTATTTTTATGTGGTGCTGAGGATTGAACCCAGGGCCCTGCACATGCTAGGCTAGCACTCTACCACTGAGCCACAACCCTAGGCCCAGTTAACCGTTTTTAAGATAGTATTTTTATAGATCAAACAAATTTTGTCTTCCTTTTAGAACCTGTCAAAATTGTCACATTTAATGAATTACTAGTTCTAAGCCTAAAATATATATTAGAATTATAGATTATTATTTACCTAAAAAATTAACTCACAGAGTGTTGAAATTGTCCAAAAAAGGAAAAAAAAAAAAAAAGACTTAAATGATTCAATCAGCAGAAAAAGCAAATGAAGAAAAGTTCATTCATTACTCCAAATCAATGAAGTCAACTAATCTCTCAAAATAAGATTCATTTGTTTCAAACTGAAATAGGTTACATTTAGATAGATTAAAGTGAAGTGAGAAATTGGTAGTAAGGGTAAAGTGGTAAAAATACTGGGATAAGGAAAGGGTAACAAAAGAAAAGCAGGAGATAAAGAGAAAAGTTTCTAGGAATACAAATATATATTTTCTAGAACGCTGGTTTCATAAAGGCTGGTTCAAGTTCTTCCTGGTATGTTTTGAATATGAAGGATCTTCTTATTCTAACCTATTGGGAAAAATAATTTAAATACAGACTATTTTACTTTGCTTATTTTGTTTTAGGGCAAATTAGCGTCATTTCTTAGACTTTGGAAGGATTAAACATCATAAAAGTCTGACTTTTTAACTGAAAACTGTGCTAATAAAAACTTTTTAAATGCAAAGGGGTATTGACAAAAGGCCAAGTAAAATTTTTAAATAGTACAAAAAATATATGTGTTAAAACCTACCTCTCATTTCTACTCCTAGACTCATTAGGGCTATTACTAGTTTTGAGGGCATCTTTTCATATTTAGCCTAACCTATCAATACATATACTTTTGTTATTCTTTATTAAGAAATATGTGTTCCTGCCTAAATAAAAAACATCTAAACACACCCCTTTCTCTATCAAGACACTTTGCAAATGGCAGTATGTTGTGCTTACTATACTTATCCTTGAATTTTCTCCTTAATATGGCTTAGTAGTAAGTAAATCTTCCCGGTTCTTTTTTTCTTTTTAATATTTTTAGTTGTAGATGAACACAATAGCTTTATTTTATTTATTTATTTTTATGTGGTGCTGAGGATGGAACCCAGTGCCTCACACATGTTAGGCAAGTTCTCTACAACTGAGCTATACCCTCAGCCCTCTTCTCTGTTCTTTTTTAATGGCTACATAAGTGCTCCATTCTATGAATGGACCATAATTTATAAAGTAATTCTTTACTGACATTCAACTTGTTTCCAATGTTTGTTACTACAGATAATGCTATGGTGAATATTCTTATAAAACTCAAATTAGTGTATGAATATGCAAAGAAAAATTTATAGAAGTGTTATTCTAAAGTCAGAAGACACAAATTTTAAAGTGACCAATTCATGTCCCCCTCCTTGATTTTGTTTAGTGCTAACCAAATATATTAAACTATAAACACCTAAAAAAGTTTTCTCCACCAAACCTGCTTAACATTTAAAGGCATGTAAATATATGATATTAAGATAGGTTAGAATGTAGGATCTAAGAATCTTCAAAGATTAGTCAAGTCCAGTGCTTTGATGAAGCTATACTCAAAAAATGTATGTAGATAATAGTATATATTTTTCATATACATCTTTAAAAAAAGGCAGGCTATATGTCAATACCATTTTTGGCTAAATAATTTGTATTTGTTCTTAAATTAAAATTCTCTAACTGCTTTTTGGAAAAGGTATATAATTTTGTTGGGCTCCTGCTCTAACCTTTTAACTTATTTGTGTAACTTCTATGTGATCAAATAAAAAGGCACTATTAAGAACAAAACAGAACTCACAGGGAGAAAATTTTTAGGTATATAGTAAAATTTCATTTGAGCAATATTAAACAGTCTGCATGTTATTAAATAATGTCATTCAACTAAGACTTGAACTGACAACACAGACCCCTTAACATGCCTCAGGCAGCACAAAGATGCTACTTCTTGTTCATTTTGAAGCATAGAGGCCAGGCTTGTCCTCTTGGCAGCAATCATGAGCATGTTACCACTGGGCCTAGAGTAACTGGCTCAACAAAGCTTATAAATACCCGTGCAGTTATTAAAATGCTTTTTTGTTTATGCTGTTTGTTTATTTAATGAGATGCTCAAATCTAGTTATTTCTCCTTCTTTCTTGATTTGGACAGGTCTCATGTGACAATTTGCCACACGGTTGTAGCTCTCTAGATTGCAATATGTTGGAGTGATGTGACCCTAAAGCAGTCCTGGGGAAAGCAGAATTGGGTTGGAAATTTCCTCTATTCAACAATTTAATAAAAAAGAACTGTTGTGAAGTAACTTCTGATTAATTTTTAAGTAGATAGTTATATAGCACATTAGATGGGATTAATACATATTAAATATTGCAAGATTTATAGGTATGCACAAAATTGCTTTACTGACAAAGCAGTGTGGGGATTCTGAAAAGGGAGGCATGACTGTTGGTTAGAAAATTAGATAAGATGATCCAAAAATTCTAACTATATAAAACCCCAAAAAAGGATTCAGAGAGGCAGAGAGAAAAAAGAAAGTTAGTCTATGAGGAACAAAAGGTAAGAAAATAGGAAGATTAGATTAAGTTAAACCTCAGTGTAATCATGAAAATAGAACAGGCTAGAATACCAAAAACACATCAAAGCCTCACAGAAAACAAACTCAGTACTTTTGACACCAGGACTACCACAACATAGTTCAACTTTTCTATGTATAAGGTGAGCTACACTTTCAATGAAAAGCTTAGCATTGATTAAAACATGTTCTATTAATTCATCTAATTACCTATTCTACCAAGAGCTTCTATAGTATTTAAAGACTGTAAGACGCATATGCTTCAAGAAAGAGGAAAAAAAACCAAAATATCACATTACAATGTGATGTTTGTGAGTGGTTAAAGCAAAAAAGGCAAACACTTAGCTTTTTAAACAATCACTATCCATGTCCTCTTTACACCCCCTTTGCTTTTTTGTGGAAGAACTAAATATTGTAAATTAGTACACACTATTCTTTTCAGCTATCTTAAGGATTTCCCTTTGATAAAAGTGCATCCTGGACTTTTATATGAGAGAAAGTAAATCACTCCTAAAGTGAATAAGAGGGGAAACATCTGCTATATTTATAAACTAAAAATGTTATTCTTTTTTTTTTTTATTAGACAACTATAAACTGATTTTTAAAATGTTTCAAGTATAATAGAAAAAATATATCTGGGGACTAGGAGGAGATTTCCATATCTCAAACCAGCATTAAAGAAAACTATAAGTTTGCTTTACTATCAGAAAAGTAGGTTTGGATTTGACAGTATTTTAATTCTTTGGAGAAAGTGACACAGAAAGGAGGTCATAAAATCATAAAGTCATAGAGGTTTGGCTTCAAATTTCGCTAATGTCACTGGGTATATTTTTTTATTTTTATTTTTTAATTGTAGTTGAACACACTACCTTTATTTTATTTATTTTTATATGGTGCTGATGATGGAACCCAGGGCCTTGCATGTGCTAGGCAGGGGCTCTACTGCTGAGCCACAACCCCAGACTGTAGATTTGTTTTAAATGCAAAGTTTGCAAGAATTTATAAAGACAGAACTTTATCCTGTAAAAATTCAAAGGTTTTAAATTTTATTCTGTCCACTGAGGACCAAAAGACAGATTAAGAGAGAGAGCGGGGGGAGGGGGGGAGGTCATAAAGACCCATCCAAAATAAAAAACAGCTTATGCCCGAGTTAATGAGATCAGATTGAAGTGTCTACACTAGAAAATTTCCTATTATCACCTCCTAATTTCTACCTTTACAACATGAATATTCTAATAGACACTGTCTAATAGTTTGATCACATGAAACTACCAATATTTTGTCATTTTTGTTGCATAAGACTAGCAATTACATATAAAGCAACTTAATACAGACCTTCTACTAACAGTATGTTCTTTCTTTCACATAAGAGTAAATCTGTAAGTACACCATATACATATGTGACTTTACTATAGTTCTGCCCTAAGATATATTGTCTAAAACAATATCCCTTGGATAATCTTTTTGTAAGTTTAATATCCTCCCCCCCAAATATGACACTTCTTTTGATTCATAAAAATTATTTCTAATTTTCATTAACTTAGCATTAAATGCCCTGTGTCTTTGGCAAAGAAATAGGAAGGAAAGGGGGAAAAAAAGAAGGAAAGAAAGCCAGTTTGCTGACTGCTGAGTTTTGTGTTAGGCTTAATAGTAGTCAATTTTTATACTTTTTCCCCTTTTAATAATTAAAATACCCATGAGAAATAAGTATTAATTTCATTGTAGAAAGAAGAAAAACCCAGGTTGAGGGAAGCTGAAAAACTGGTGAGTTGGTGGTTTAGGAAGGGGTAGAAATTAATAACAAATACCATTTGATCCAAAAATGCACTGCATTCCTCTATAAGAAAGCTTGTTTGGGACTCTTTTAATTAGTGTTTAATTTTGAAGTACCTTTCAAAAGTATTTACAAAAGGCTATATTGAAGTAACTGGTTTTGCTTAATTATCCTACATTGGGAATACTGAATGTTTCTACAAGAAAATAAAATATTTTAAACAAAGTTCCATAAAATTTTACTTACAAAATAAATTCAAATTGTTTTATTAATGTCATCATGCAGACCAATAAACACAGAAAAGTCAGGGTAAAATATGCCAAATGCTGACACAAAGAGATCAGGGATATGATGATCAATTTCATTAATCAATTTAAAGACAAAAAGTCAGCAATATCTGCAGAAAATATAAGGCTGAAAATTTTAAAATAGGAAGGAAAATATTTATTGTAATTGCTTCTACAACTGTTAAGATGAAAAACTTTTAAATGTTATTCAATTTGTGCAAAATCACCTGAATGAGCTGGATAAAATGGGGCTGAAAACTAACTCTATGAAGTGAAAATGTGGGACTGTAGCTCAGTCGTAGAGCTCTTGCCTAGCATGTGTGAGGCACAAGGTTTGATTCTGAGCACCACATATTAATAAATAAAAACAAAGGTCCATCAACAATAAAAAAAATATTAAAAAAGAAGGCTAACTCATTTTATTAAATACCCTGTAAATGTTATATAGTGTAATACCATAGATTATTGAGGCTGAGACGAATGAAAAAAATTAAGGATAATTCTTGGAAAAAAAATCAAAATTGAATATAATGGAGGGAGACCCTCATTGTTACACAAAATTACATATAAGAGGTTGTGAGGGGAATGGGAAAATAAACAAGGAGAGATATGAATTACAGTGGATGGGGTAGAGAGAGAAGATGGGAGGGGAGGGAGTGGGGATGGTAGAGGATAGGAAAGGTAGCAGAATACAACAGTTACTAATAGGGCATTATGTAAAAATGTGGATGTGTAACCGATGTGATTCTGCAATCTGTATTTGGGGTAAAATTGGGAGTTCATAACCAACTTGAATCTAATGTATGAAATATGATATGTCAAGAGCTTTATAATGTTTTGAACAACCAATAAAAAAAATTAAAAAAAAAAAAAGATTGTCACAATGCAATGTAGAATACTTTCTACAATCTCTTCTGCATATAATCAATTATGTTATGTTATAGATAAATAAATAATGCTATAAAAACTGAAAAAAAAAAAAAGAATTAAGTAAGAACACACATAGTTTTTAATTTGTGACTAAGAATGGTACTTGTCAATAACACAAGTAAACCGGAATGTATATTCAATTTTGTGAAAGTGTCTTCACTGACACTGACCCAATGCTGGATATCAGTATTTTCATAAAACACCCACAGAATACTGATCTATTCAAAGATCATATATAGCTCTCCTGCTCTATTTTAAGGCCACACATTTATAATGTTAAAAAAAAATAGTAATCTGAACTCCCTTCTTTCAGCTATGATTTCACTGCTCCCAATCATTGATAATTTCCATATAGAGGGTAGAAGCAGGGTCCTAATCTTGCCATCACAGTGTGACCCTGACATCTCCTACAAGAATCCCCACTCTTCTCAGTGCTATTCTTAAACAATGGTGGAAGAGAAAAAAAGGGGAGTCTAGAAAAACAGCAATACCCACAAAAAGTACAGAAACTACTCTTATTAATAAAATATAAAGTTAATAGTAATCCACACATAGAAATATTTGTCATTGCTCAAAAAAGTAGATTACAAAACATCAAAATTATGAAAATAATTTTTATGAGATCACATGGAACTTAAGTATCATAGAGTTTATGACTATCAGTATGAGGTACAAATATGATAAATGCAGTTCTTCTTTCTGAAAGGAGAATTCCAAAGCTGAGTTCTGATTTCCTACCTGTGCTGTGAGGCACTTCTGCTGGAGTATTTGCTGGAGCATGTGCACCTGGAGGAATCTGTATTCCAGTATAGCCGCCTGAAGGCATGCTGGATGGGTCATAAGATGATGATGATGATGATGGCTGAGGCGGCTGTGTGGGCAGGGAGGATGCTCCAGCATCTTCATTTTCCTCAACATCTATTACGTAATACATAAACTGTATTAAAGTAGGCAGTTTGAAATACAAATGCTGAATATTCTTATTTTACTATACACACAAGATAAAAGGAATCTTCATATGCAATTCTATTTAAGGCAATTGATAAGTAAGCTCTTTCTCTTGAAATAATTATTGCAATTTCTTACAAAAATTAATTATCCCCAACAATATGATTATCACTTTTTTCAGTTTAACACTAATTTCATAAAGTTTTACACATATCATATTTTCTTTTTCTTAAAAATATTTATTTTTTTAGTAATAGGTGGACACGATAACTTTGTTTCATTTTATGTGATGCTGAGGATCAAACCCAGTGCCTCATGCATGTCAGGCAAGCGCTCTGCCTCTGAGCCACAACCCCAGCCTGCATAATTTTCTTTAAAATAAACTTTCTTTAAAAACTTATGAAAGATCAAGGAAATTTTTGACAAAGAATGAGTCAAATTTATGCTATTCAACGTGAACTTTATTTTCTGAAAACTGCCTTTTACTCAGTACTTTGTATTAGCTATTAAATAACTTATGTATGTTGTTCAAATTAAGTTAATAAAAACAAAGGAATATAATTTTACATTTTGTTATGTAGAAAGAAGTATGAGATACCTGGTTTTTAAGTTTTGAAATGTACATTTAAAAAATCTATAGTATCATTAGCTGACTCTGAACACTAATCTGAGAAAATTAAATTTTGATAGTATATTTCAAGTGACAATTACACATCCTATCTGAAGAGCAGGTGGCAAAGATTTTCTCCCATTCTGTAGGTTCTCTCTTCACACTCTTGATTGTTTCCTTTGTTTTGAGAAAGCTTTTTGGATTGATGCTATCGCAATTATTGATTCTTGATTTTATTTCTTGTGCTTCAGGGATCTTCTTGAGGAAGTTGGTTCCTGAACCGACATGATGAAGAATGGGGTCTACTTCATCTTCTAGTAGGCTCAGGATCTCTGGCCTAATGCCTAGCTCCTTGATCCTCTTTGAGTTTTGTGTAGGGTGAGAGATAAGGATTAAATGTCATTCTACTACATATGAATTTCCAGTATTCCCAGCACCACTTAAAAAGTAAATAACCAAATCAAAAATGGGCAAAGGAACTGAACAGGCACTTCACAGAAGAAATATGAATGGTCAACAAATACATGAAAAAATGTCCAACAACATCTCTAGCAATTAGAGAAATGCAAATTAAAACTATACTCAGATTCCATTTCACTCCAGTCAGAATGGCAAGTATCAAGAATACAAATAACAATATATGTTGGTGAGGATGTGGGGAAAAAGGTACACTCATACATTGCTGATGGCACTGCAAATTGGTGCAACAACTGTGGAAAGCAGTGTGGAGATTCCTCAGAAAACTTAGAATGTAACCACCATTTGACCCAGTTATCCCACTCTTCAGTATATATCCAAAAGAGTTAAAATCAGCATATTACAGTGACACAGCCACATCAAAATTTACAGCAGCTCAATTCACAATAGCTAAGCTATGGAATCGCTCTAGGTGTCCTTCAACAGATGAAGGGATAAAGAAGATGTGGTACATATACCAATGGAATGTTACTCAGTCATAAAAAAGAATGACTATGACTTTTGCTGGATCTGGAGACTGTCATGCTAAGTGAAATAATTCAATCCCCCAAACCCAAAGCCTGAATGTTCTCTTTGGTATGCAGATGCTAACACACAATAAGGAGTGGGGACAGGGAAGAATAGAAGTTCACTAGATTAGACAAAGGGGAATGAAGGGAAGGGAGGGGGGATAGAATAGGAAAGAAAGAAGAATGAATCGGACTTAAGTGTCATATGTTCAGATATGAATATACCACCAGTGAAACTCCACATCATGTACAACCACAAGACTAGGATCCTAATAAGTTATATTCCATGTATGTATAATATATCAAAATACACTCTACTGTCATGTATATCTAAAAAGAACAAATACAAATAAACTTCAGGAAGATACCTGCATACCCCTGAATTGTACATACATAGGGAATACTCAAGGAATCCTTAAGAAAGCAACAACTTAAAACTGAAAGTGGTAAAAAGTTTGAGTTAAGGCAAGTTAACTGTTAGAACAAGAAACAGGACTTTACAGAGGAAGATAACAAGCTGAAGAGAGGCTACAACATGCTATTAGCAATAGGAATTATTCATATGTGGGAAGAAAGGACAATGTGAATAGAAATCAGAAGAAAAAATGTTTATAGACTTTGGATATAAAATTAGCATAAAAGAACATTAAGTTAACTATTATACATATGATTAAAGCCATAAAGAAAAATATGGCCAAAATGAATGGCAGAGGAATAACTCTCTAAGAGAAAAGAAACCTATAAGATGGGAACAAAAATAGATGAGACTAAGGAGACACATGGCAAAATAGGATGAAATCTACTAAACACTGTTTTGAAGGTAAGTGGTGAGAGAGCCATTTCTGAGGTGATACTACTAAAAGTTATGACATTAACACTAATTTATGTTACCAGTTATATCTTAAAATCATACACATTTATACTTGTGTGTGTGTGTGTGTGTGTTCATGTACAATTTAAAAACAAAGTAATCTCCATAGCTTCTCTGTGTGTGTGTTGGAGGAAGGAAATTAAAAAAAAAAAGGGTGATGGACAGAATATGAATGAAGTCAGAGAATGTTGAGCCTGAATGAAGGGCATATGGGAATCCTTTATACTGTTCAGACAACGTTTTGGTAAATTTTCATTGTATCAAAAATAAAGTTACCATATAAAAGGAGTTTATTTCAATTTTATATTTTTTATATCATCAATTTTATATAATGTCTATTCAAATGTCACGGCAAAAGAGTATACATTCTGCTGTCAAAAGTAAGTGTATTACTTGGTTTTTACCTAAATTAATTAAGTTACACTGTCTATTATTTTCTATTGGTTTTATTAGAAATTCAATTTTAGGATAACAGATTAGATTTTGGTTAAATATAAATACACTGTTAAGAGCTGAAAAATACAACAGAATATAATACTATACTGAGAAAATGGGAAAAAAAGATTTTTTTCTCATACAAATTGAGATTTAATAACTTACTCTTATAGAGACTTAAGCCAATTCTAAGCAGATACTGTAAGATGTTGTGACATTAACACCTGATTATGACACCAAGTTTGTTTTAAGTTAATGAGCTAAAAAAGTATACACTGAAACATATTCTCCTCTGTGCCTTTCAGGATTTCTGTAGACACAATTTTCTACTATCCGGAGGCTCCATGAAATTTGTATGACAACAAAGAATAGAAATTAAAACTCTGGGCTGGGGCTGTAGCTCAGTGGCAAAGCACTTGCTTAGCATGCATGAGGCACTGGGTTCAATCCTCAGTACCACATAAAAATTAACAAATAAAATAAAGGCATTCTGTCCGTCTACAACTATAAAAAAATTAAAAAAAGAAATTAAAACTTTTCCTTACGCCAAGTTTTGGAAAACAAAGTAAAAACTACCTACAGTTAATAATCTACTTAGTGTGATAAAAGGGCTACAAATAACTGTTTCAGAACAAAGGAGATCAAGACGATAACCAAAATGTAAAAGTTTGAGAAGCCAGTGATATGGGAAGAATACCTAAAAAACAAAACTGATAACTCTGATATGCCTAAAATGACATGTGAAATCATCCTAAAAAAGCAAACAGATGCTTAATGTAAGTATTTTCATGGTATATTTAAGAGTATAAGCAAAACCATATAAAAAAGCTATCTTCCCAAATCAAATGTGATTACTACACATAAAGACCTATTCCATCTTTGCTTTGATCTTCTTTTAAAATTTTTTCTGTATTTTTTATTGGTGCATTACAGTTGTACATAATGGTGGGATCTGTTGTTATATATTTGTACATGCACATAATATAACAAAATAATTTGGCCAATATCATGCTTGGTTCTCCCTGGGAGATTCACATTGCACTTCTGCTTCACCTCTTGCTTTTGAGCTGAGAGCTTCAACTTCTACTTTTATCCCAACCCTTTCTTCAGAAATCTTTGGTAGAACAGCTAATTGCCAGTTGGAGCACTTCAAGTAGTAGTTACCTTAGCATCTCAATGTCTTTTTAAATAAAATCTCTCCAACCAAACCTACTCATCCTGTACTAGCCATTTCTTTGATGGAATTACCATGCCTCCAATCACCTAAGTTGGAAAAATAGGAGTCATACGCCATTATCTCTGTCTTCTTTTGAATTAAACTGTCTTGAAGTCCTATTGATTATACTTCTCTATTTGTTCTCTGTATGCCCATGGCTGAGAACTTATGCAGGCTGTTATTATTATTTTGATTACCAAAAGCCCTTGAATTTGTCTCACAATTAGAAGACCTCTCCTCCTCCAGTTCATATACCCTCACATTCTGAATCTGCCTCCCTGCTTCTGTGGAAGTTCTTTTCAGGTATAGCATCCCTCTTCACTTTTTACCTGACTTTAGTTCAGTTAACTACTAAGACATTGTTCAGGCATAATCTCTTACCATTAAAAATGCTGACTAATCTATCATCACTCCTCATGGGAATAGAAGCTCCTATAAGAAAAGGGTGTGTGGCATATACATCTCTAGTATTAGGCTAATACAAAAAAAAAAAAGACATTAAAAAGGAAAAAAAATTTCTTGAACAAAAGAAAGAAAAAATACATAAAGATTTTAAAAACAGAAGCACAAGGGTATGTCCTGGAAGGTAGAGGTCTGCATCATGTCTAAAGCAAAAAAATCCTCCTCATAATGTTGATACTATCCTTTGAAGGGAAGATTAACAGTTATGCTGAATGACTGGCTGAAATTATTTCTTAAAAGCTCACTGGAGAAGATAAATATGTGTAACTCTTCTTATTCTATGTCAAACTAGTTGAAAGAAAAAAAAATGCATGTGCTCATTTGGGTTAAAAAAAGATCTGGGTTCCAACGATGGCTATATTAATTAGTTACTAGAACTTGGGCAAGTTA